GAAGAAGAAGAAGATAGAATTAAGATTTTGTTGGTTATGGCTGCCTTTTAGGTTTTGCGAACCCAGGCTCTTGGGTTTGCCTGGAGGTAAAAGAAAAAAAAGAGAAAAAAAGGCTGGACGAAGGAGAAGCCGGGGAAGAAGATGAGGGTATATCAGTAATTAAAAATAAAAAAATTTAGCATGTAATCAATTTTGCCACGTGGATTTTCCACGTAATTTAATAAAAAAAGGAATGAGTGTTTCCGTTAATTAACATGCCACCTCAGCCAAAATTTAACGGAGGGACTAAAAAGGGGCCGAATTTGTGAACAATAAGGACCAAAAAGGGGATTTTTTCGGTACAGGGACCAAAAAAGGGCTTTTTCTTATAGTAAAGGGACCAAAAAGGGTATTTAACCAAAAAAAAAAATCAAGCTTCATAATCATCATAATCAAAATGTGCTTCTTGCTTCTTCAGCATCTTTATGGGAACAATCAAAGAATCAAGTTTTATCATCATCCTTCGGGAGGCAAGGAGAGAGAGGTTTGAGTTTAGAAAGAAATGTAATCAAGAAAAATTGCAAGAAATAAAAGCAAAAACTCAGAAGAAAAAAATTGAAACAAAATCATCCAATCACTGAATCAAAATCCATGGAAAAGAAAAGAACCCGACTTGTGGGTTTGCCTTTTTACATCTGATTAGGCAAAGCAAAGGTAAAAATTTATTTAACCTATTTTAATAAATTTTTAATCTTTAAATAATTTATTTTTATACCTAACATTTAATTTAGTAGTTGATTTTGTTTAATCTATTAAATTTTATTTAACGCTTAACACATTGATTAATATAATTATATTATTTATTAATATATTTAACTAATTTAAAAATTGATTTTATCTAAAAAAATATGTGAGTATGCATATGAGACTACATAGACATTTTATATAAAGTTATCACAATTTTTTGTCAATAGTTTTTAAATTAAGAGTCAACTCTCATTAAAGAGAGTAGACTATACACAACACTCAAAATGTTATCAACTCTCTGGAATTTGGGAGTCGAATGTTCACCATATATAATCGACTCTTGAATACTCGAGAGTCCAATTTTTGTACCTAGATTCAACTCTTTATTTAAAGGTATATATATAATGGCCTTGACCAACTATTAGTCAAAGTGGTAATATCAGTAGCAAGGGATATGTTGCTGATGTTTGGTTGGTAAAAAGATAAAAATAACAGCAACATAGTATATCTTGCTAATACTTTAGGTGTGGTTGGAAAAGTTTCAGCAAGATAGCTCTTGTTGCTAAAAGTCACTTTCAGCAACAAGGGATATCTTGTTAAAAGTGGAGCTCAACTAGATGGGGAAATGATTGCCGGAAAATATCAACATGGGGTATGTTGTTGAAATTCACTTTTAGCAACATACTCTTTGTTGCTGAAAGTTATGTTGCTAAAAGTAGAGCTACTTTTTAGGGAAAAAATGTACTATGCAACTTTCAGCGACGTGAGTCTTGTTGCTAATACAAATTTTCAGCAACAAAAGATCCCATGTTGCTGATATATTGTTGCTGAAATATTGTTGCTGAAGGCTTGATTTTTAGTAGTGTTGCTAGCCACACCGACCAAACCACCACATTCCAAATACAATCCCAACCATCCCTTATACGTAAGTCTTTGCTCCCACCCCAATCTGCTCAAATGGTACAAAGAATAGTAAAGAATGAAATTACTAATCTATAAAACAAATAAAAAAAGGTGATGATACGTGGGACAAATATATAGGATGGTTTTAAGGGACCAATGACATGGCTTGCTATATCATTATTTTAATCTTTAAAAATTTTAATTTGAAAGTATTTTGTTTATTTTGACCAGCTCCCTGTCTCTCTCATTTCATTTCTTTCTTATTTCCCACAGTTATCTTCTCCATTTTTGCCTGCAACTCCTTCTCCATGGTATGACTCAGTTCAAAACCATCTAAATCATTTAAAACTCGAAGGCCATTGTTTTTTTCTTTTTTCAAAAAATGAAAAGTAAACCCTAAACTATTGGGTGAAATTGAACTCTAAAAAGGATATTCACCTTTTACAAGGGAAATATAAGAGAAAAAGGAGGCAGATTTGGGAGAGAGAGAAAACATAAGAACCCCATAGTATGACTTTTAACTTCATCTCTATTATTTAAAACCCCATGGCCATTTTTTTAAATTTTCACAAAAACAAAAATAAACTAAATCTTAATTATTGGGTGAAATTAAACCCTAATTAATGGAAATTGAACCTTAGAAATAGTATTCACTCTTTGCAATGGAAGATAAATGACGAGAAAAGAGAGGAAGATTTGGGAGAGAAAGAATACATAAAAGATGCAATGAAGATGAAGGCAAAAATACCTAGAAAAAGGAAACAAAAAAGAAGATGATTGCCTATCATGTCATGTGAGACCTTTTTTGAAGTAATATTTTTCTTAGTTGACTTTCACCTCATATTCATCCTCCATTTTGGTCTCATTTTTGTCATCCCAATTATCATTATTTCTAAAAAAATATTTTTAAGATATATTTATAGTTTGATTATAGTGTGATTCAATTTGGATGTCTAAAAAACATTAGTTAAACCCCATATTTGCGTTTTATATATTTTATCATTTTACACTCAACACCCTAAAGTGATTTTCTTTCTAATTAACACCCTAAAAATTAATCGGCGGTCACGTGTGGATTATGTGCACGCTAAATTCTGTGAACTGATGCATTACATGGACACTACGTGGAGGATAAAATCGATGTGGCAACAGGCAAGGTTTTGTAATGACATGACAGCCACTTATGGTATGGGACCCACAACTGGCAGGACTTTCGCCTTCTGTTCAAAGTTTGAAACAAAAAAAAAAAATTCCCTCTGCTTCACTATGTTAATCCTTCTAGTTTACTGCATTAGAATTAAAAAAATAATTAATTATTTTTAATTTCAATGTTAAATAACATAAAATTTTCATCTTATCCTTTTTGTACTTACCTGGTACTTTATCACATCTGTCAATTTGTCTTTCATCCGCTCTTTTGTTGTTAAAAAAAATTCACTTGCAAGTTATTTTCATTCCAATCCAATTATGTTTCTAATTACCCAAAATTTTCATTCTAATTTTATTTTTTCAATTTTGTTCCTACCAAAAATTGTCTACAAAATCTGACTAAAAACTATTGAAAAAAAAAATGGGGTTCATAGTTGTATACAGTTGTAAGGGTAAGTCCAGAGCTTCCCGCTAGAATAGCTACACGGCAGTTACGATGGACATCCTTGTATCTAGATATATCTCAATCTCCCGGTCCCGAAATAACTGCTTGGAGATACATATCATATCCCGGATATTTTGCTTAGCTCAATCTCCCGGTCCCGAAATAACTGCCTGGAGATACACATCGGATCCCGGATATCTTGCTTGGCATCTTGATTGGCATGCCGCGTGGATTCTTGATCGAAACGTATAAATACCCTTAAGGGCCACGCCACAAGGTAATTGAAACCAACCCTAAGCTCTTTGCATCTCCGTTTCATAGGTAACCCCGATTATTGCTAACTTAAGCATCGGAGTGTCTACCCCGAGGATCCACCTCGGGGCTTTGCAGGTCAATCTGAAGTACGGTTGCGGACTGAAGAAGGACTTCCGGTTTGGTGCAGTTACATTTTGGCGCCGTCTGTGGGAACCTGGACAAAAGGTTCCTTTGTTGCTCTTATCATGGTTAAAACTAGGTCAGCTCGAGGGGGAAACTCGTCTCAGCCTCTTGGACGAGGTCAGGCCCCCAGCAACCTTCCGCCTCATCCTCCACCCCCGATTCCACATACAGTCCCTCCTGTTGATCATGCAGAAGGCGAAGACGAAAATCAACCACACAATTCGGTTCATAACTCAGCCTCCACCGCTAATCAAGACGTGGTTGCGACTTAGCTTGCTGCCATGCAACAGCAGTTTGGTGTTTTTCAACAAGTGCTGGCTCAGTTGCTAGCCCGAAACAATCCTGGTGACCCACTCATCAATCTACTTAACCCTGCCCCACCACCAAATCCTGAACCAGTTCAACATGCTCCCGCTGTTAGTGAATCTCAGGGCCAATCTCACATGGCACCAGTTCAACAACCTCCTCATGATGATGTCACTCGACGTCTAAATAGCTTAGAGAGGTTAGTGATTGAACAGCGGGGTGCCCCACCTCCATACCCTGTTGTTGACTCCGTACCCCACCCTCTCAACACCAATATTGTGAGGGAGCCCTATCCCACTGGCTTCAGAATACCACAACTTGAAACTTATGATGGGACGAAGGACCCCGACGACCATCTACATGCTTTCTACTCTTGCATGCAGGCCCAGAATGCCTCTGATGCGTTGATGTGCAAAATCTTTCCCTCCACTCTCCGAGGTAACGCTCGAACCTGGTATTACAGCCTACCTTCGAGATCAATCAACTCGTATACAGAACTGTCATCCGCTTTTGCCACTAAGTTTTCCAGTAGAAGGTTGATAAGGAAAACCACTTCCGAGCTGATGCGAGTCAAGCAGAGGGATGGAGAATCTCTGAAGAATTTTATGAGCAGGTTCAATGATGCAGTGCTAGAGGTTAACTCTTTCGATCAAGCAGTGGGCATCACAGCTGTAATCTCAGGTCTTGGCCATGAAAGATTCAGAGAAAGTCTGCTCAAACATCCCGCCACTACCTTCAGTGAGGTCAATGATAGGTCATTGAAATTCATAACTGCTGAGGAATATGTCCTGTCGCAGAACATCACCCCTGTTAAGAACCAACACCCGGGCTGGAGAGATGAGAACCCGAACAGGAAACGGATGAAGACACCACAGAACCGAGGTCCGATGTCGACTTCCGTCCCGCAGTTCGGAAGGCCGAACTCAGCACCTCCGCAACAACCTACAGGTAAAACTTCAGTCAATTGGACTCCTTTTAATTTACCAAGGTCACAAATCTTCATGCAGATTAAGAATAAAATGGACTTACGACGTCCGGGTCCAATGAGAACTG